CGTTTGTCCTCGCTCCTCGATAAAGACAATTACACCTTTTTTGATCATCTATGCCACTTTGTTTTTAGTTAAAGCAATCACTCACTATTGTCTTATTCTCTTATTCTCATGATTTCGAACAGTCTTTTGTATTGTTAATCTTTGTGTCAAAAGTCCGCTGGGACAGATTGCACTATATAAGATAAGACGGCCAGCGCCTCATGGCGAATTCGTCATAACAAATAGAGCGATTGATAAAAAAAAATTTAAAATGCTACTCACAATTATTATTCGTAGCCTTACGAGTCGATGTTGCTAGCAAAATCGAAAATCGAAAAATGACTGACTGCACTTGTTTTCAGCATCGAATAATCTATTCGCTGCTTCACTCTGTCTTTTTTGCCTTTCAACAGAAACGTACCTCACTTATAGCTTTTGTTTATTCTTACATCAGCAAACGGTCAAAAGTAGAAGAGAACAAAAATGGCTAAAACAAATGTCAGTTGCTTAGCAGTTGTGGAAAGGGAGAATACAAAAAAAGAAAAACAAGTCACTTGAGTCAATATTTCTCGCGCTCTTATTCACTGCTGTTTGAGTTTGCTTTCGAACATCAACAATATGCAAGGGGGAAAAAGCGGATCCCATGATCCAATAGGATCCATTGGGATCCATTGGGATCCGTTGGGATCTGATGGGATCCACAGGATCCAATGATATTCATTGGTATAAATTATGTTTTTAAGAAATTATAAGAACAAAAGACATCAATAAGATTCATATTATAAAAATTTACAAATAAAAACACGCGATAGGAGAAGTAGACTGGTCATTACGCAATATGCTCATAACTCGAACTTATGCATTTGATATTTTGTAATATTAGGTTATTAAGAAAAGATATTACCACCTTTCAGCAGGTAGAAGAAGAACCATTAAGACATTCACTTATTTATGTTGTTTTGAGACTATCCATGCACATGAGTAGGGGCGGGCCATTTATTTTAACGGAACTTAATTAATGACTTCCACTAGCCATTAATCTTAATGGTTAATGTTTTCTAAGAAAAACTTAATTCATTAATATTAATGATTAATGAAAAACATTAACATTAATTTTAAAATTAATGTTTTCATTAATCATTAATATTAATGTCAATGTTCTTGAATGATATTAACGGTTAAAGGANAATATTAATGATTAATGAAAGTATAATCCATAATATTAACGAAAACATTGCTATTCATACTAATGGTGAATGTTTCCGTTAACCGTTAATATCATTTAAGAACATTGACATTAATATTAATGAATTAAGTTTTTCTTAGAAAACATTAAGCATTAATCTTAATGGTTAATGAGAAACATTAACATTAATATAAAATTAATGCTAATGGCCCACCCCTACACATGAGTACTTTTCAAAGCATTTTAGGAGTTCTCTACAATAAAGACGAGAATGATATTTCAGGAGGAGGAGGGTGGAAATTTATGAAATTGGGTGAAGCTCAGTTGAAATTGATTTGCTATCATAAGTTAGCTTCTCACAATGAAGTAAGAGATAAATTGACGAATTTCAGGTGATAAACCGCATCGGAATATTTACTGAAGTTTTGTCACAAAAAAACTGCTGTCTCGTGTTTTTATTTGTAGACAGAATTTCTAAGCTTTCATTAAAAAGGGAAAAGCTAGAAAAAAATACAAAAATTATTTATTTTAGGATTAAAAATTGGTTCTAAAAAGAGCCTTTACTCGAATGTGTATAGGGTGTTATTGTAGATGTGCGTCTGGTGAGCAGATGATACTCACAGCTTCAACTTGAGGGTGTGGGGTGTGTGGTGTGGGTGTCTTCTATTCGCTCACATCTATGCCCACTCCCACACACTCGGTTAAGACAATTTAAAAAGAGATGGCATAAATTTTAAGACGGTAACTATTTTTGACTGTATCTTCTGTTAATAAGGACAGTGCCTATCGATACTTTCATGAAATATATCATTTTCATACTTGACTGTACGATCACTTCTAAGAAAGCTATCGATCATCAGACTAATTTCTTCACAATATCCTTTCTCTAAATTAAAAGTGAACTCTACTGCTCCAGGAAAGCTATACCTGTAACGATAAGAATGGTTTCATCGTGATATCGAATTGTTTTATTTCAATCATCCTTCTCCTTTTATAGTTACACTTTCTTTCTCCGGGGCGCGTCACTCAACCGGAGAGAACGAGGAAGAACACGACAAAGAGGAAGAGAGAATATACATGGCAATGAGAAGAAAGTTGTTATGTACATTGATTAGGATAGAACGAGTGCTTATATCGCCACAATACCCTATACAAATATTGTCGCAATAGAAAGAGGCCGATCAACGTATGCAGATGTTGTCATATCAGTGAGTTGTAGATGCATTGTGATTTTGTCTCACATATGATCTTGCATTATTACCTGATATGTATGACATAACATACACATCAGCTCCTATGTTACATCTTGTATGCACAAGAGAAATAAAGCACATCTATTTCTTTATTATACATCTACTCCTTCATCCTAATATACTCGGTACTCTAATTATAATTCAATGTTGCCTTTGTATTAGGATAAATGCAATAAAAAAGAGAGAATTTCCGATACTCGCCAGTTTATATATATATTTCTTTGTTCTGTTATGTGTGATTGAATTATGATTTGATTGGTGCATTAAAAATTAAATCATCTCGAAAAAAAATGTGGCATAATTCTGTTTTAATTGTGGATCGATCGGATTGTTTATTTAAACATTATTCGATTTTGTTTCGGTCTCTATTCTACTCGCATGTGCGCAAAAAAGTGCTGTAAATGAATCATTGCAAATATTTAAAAGGAAACGATAGACAGAAAAAGAAAGGATATATAAAAGTATTCTCGAAAAACGAACACAACAATATGGCGATAAATCTTCGTTGCTTATTTACAGATAATAATTTTGTAGGATTGAAAATACTCATTCAATTATATACACTTATGAATTATTTTAGATAAAATTCTTTTTTTCTCCAACAAATATGTTTGCTGTAAAACGGCCACTGAATAATAATCAATTCCTCCACAAAGAAGAAATAGAAGTTTCGAAGTAAGTTCTACATATTATTGTCACTGTATAATGCATTTCTATACATACGTATATACTGAAAAGTAGTGATAAATGATGACAAGTAAAATTAGCAAAAAATAAATTTCAGCTTTACTTTATTTTTTTTTTGCTTTTACAGAAAAATAATTAGTTGTATTGAAAATTTATCCAATGAAATTTTCTATGAAATTTTCTATGAAATTTTCGATTTCCTCGATGGTTGTGAAATATATAAAGCATTTTCAAATCTTAATAATCGTTTTCAAACTTTAATCACTTGTTCAACTCTTCGATTAAAAATTGATCTTAGTATTCGTCCGGACTCTAGTCTAGAACATTGGTCGAAATATGTTGTTGTTCCGAACAAGGATCGAACTATTGCATTGATTTGGCTGTTTAGTTATGATCATAATTTGGGTTATACACTATTCAATATTGATTCATCATTTATCCGACTTGAAATTTAAACATTACGTAGTAGTAGAGCAAACGATCTTATCCCTCTGCTCATAAACATGATCTCTTTACCTGATATATTCTCATTGACAATCAACTATGATAAAGATCCTCAGGAAATCAGCAATATCTATCAAGCAAGTTTCAATTTATCAATGTTAAAATACTTTAAATTATCATTTTTTTGCATTTGAAACATTACTTTCAATATCAATAAATGTTGATAAACAGTTGACTACTATAAAATATCTGGTGATTGATCATTGCTGTAGTCTTGATGAATTAATCGCTCTACTTTCATGCATTCATCAACTCTGTCGGCTGACTTGCGAACAAGTCGATGAATCACACAAAGACATCGTGAAAGATACTCTTTGCCCAATATTGATTTTGACTCGTATTTCCATCGGTAGATGTTATGCAAACTTTAATGAAATAGAAATATTTTCACTAAGATACCATCTCAATTAGAAATATTACGTTTTAATAGTTTCAGCGACGTAAATTATTTGGATGCAAATCGATGGGAACCAGTGTTTTATCCAGTGGGGGGGG